CTGCCAGATCTCTTGTGCTTACAAAAGTAGGGATTTATCCGTGTGTTCTTGTGGGAATGAGAGGGGAGCTGCTTGCTTTCTCTTCAAGCCAGAGAGTTTGAGATACAGTTGCAGTCACAAAGCAGTATGTAGGACCACTGGGATGGTACAGGCAGTTATATTAGAATGCTATTAAAATGATAAGTGTTAAACTGTTGGCCAGGGGCAGATATATAAAGGAAAAACATAGATATGAGTGTGCTTCTCCTTCCCCATCCTGAGTTGGAGTTAGTTTTTGTTGGTTGGTTTTTATGCTGGGTTTTTGGTTTTGGTTTTTTTATCTACTTCGATAAATGCTGCAGTGAAGCTTCTTTGTAGCATGAAAGTAATTTTTGTAGCGTGAATGTAATTTTTTTTGGGGGGTGGGGGCAGGGAAGGGTGATGGTGTTTGTGGAGGTTCTTTTGTTTGTGCCCTCTCTTGAGCCCTACTTACTTCCATGAGCACTAATACAGTCCCTTCTGGTGCTGCAAATCACTCCGTAATTCTGCTGGGGAAGAACTTTAGTCTGAGGAAATGTAAATGGAGCACATAAACATTGACTTAGCTAAGTAATGGTCTTAAATGTTGATCTCAAATTATTCTTAACACAGTTACTGTGTTGCTTATAGATTTCAAAGGTTTACAGTTAGCTGTATCAGCTATTTATGATCACTGTCTCTCACCAGAATGATTTGATTGAACTGTATTTCAAGTACCTTAGAAATGTGCTTCTAGCAAGTTGTCTGTCTTGGAAGTGGTTATTCAGTAATGCACTTTGGCAGCATGCCTGTCTGAAATCGTGTGTGTGACTGCACAAGGTTAAGTGAGTTGCATGGTGAGAAGTGCTTGCAGGGATGACAGTGGAAACTTGCTCTTGGATTTAATACTCCATGCGTCATCTTCATGCTAGTCCTTGAGATTGTGGCCACCACATACTGCTGGAGGTGGTCAGTTCTTCCAAACTCAGGGCTTTCCATAAAAATTAATGCAATTTAGGATTGACTCTTTATTCAGTACTAGTTCAAAAAATATGTGTGGCATTTATATGGTAGATACCAAAAATGTACTGAACTAAATGATAGCAAATGTTTGAGAAGGTAAATAAGTAGTGTTAACAATTTCTGGTACTTCGTTTTCTGCAAGGGGGAATTACTCTTTTTCTCTTGGACTGAGAAAAGACATTAGAAAACCAGAGGTGGCAAGAGGAGTCTTACTGGGAGTCTGCTGGAACACTGAGTATTTGAAAGTCTTGTCTGATCTATAGCAGTTGGAAAGGGATTTCATTTTCATGCTGAGGAGAGGTAGAAGGCTGAGAAGACAGATTCTAGTGTATCTAGGCACCTCCAGCTGATTATGAAGGTATTACTGGAGTTTGTTTCTGCAGTATGTTTATGAGTATCCAGAAATCTTGTGTTAGGAAAAAGTGCACTTAGTGTGTCTTAATACAATGTGCTAGACTTATTTTTTTTTTCCTTGGAAACACTCTGGATTTGTTCTGTTTTTATAAATTGCCTTCTCCTTTAAAAATAAAAAAACAAAAAACAAACAACAAACCAAAGCTTAATCTCTCCCTAGGGCACCTTGGTTGCTGCTTATGTTGAGTTTTTTCCCCCTTTCTCAATTGTTCGGTCTTTTGACTAAAAATAAAAATTACATTCTAAATTAGTCTTGAATTTTACTTTGTCTTGTCTACATCAGCTGTATTTGGGCATCTGTGGGATTGTCCTGTGTAAAGTTTCACATGCAGTGAATGATAAACTGCCCAGGATTATTTGCTTTGAGCTCCAACAGCGAGCTTAAAACAGGGAAGTTGACAAAATTTCCACAACCCTGCTGTTTATGTAAAAAGTTCAGAAAGTAGACGAAAACTGAAATGGCAACTGTAAAATTTTCCCTCCCTTCAGTGTCTTTAACTGACATGATAGATCATTTATAATTACTGGAAATCTATGCCCTACAGGCTATATTTTTAACCAGGAAAAGGTTGTAGTTTGGAATTACTTTATAATGTATTTCAGTATTTTTGATTTTTTTACCTGACCGAAGGCAACAGTATCACATACTGGCATTTGCTCTTGGCATCATGAGACAAATATGTTAAAATGATGCTTTGTGTTTTTCTGAACAAAGGTTGTAAATTATATGCTTCCTTCATATATGATATTTGAGGTTGTTAATGGCTTATTCTTGGAAGAGTCTTTGCACATGTTAAGTACTTTGAGATAGTGACAGAAGGGTTTGCAAGGGCACACATGGCCTTCCTGTAATCTAATCTTAAAAGACATGTTACTTTCATGTGATATGGTTTTTGAAGGCTGCTTCTGTATGTATGAGTTTGGCAGAGTCTGCTTCTGTATGTATGAGTTTGGCAGAGTATCTCTTTTACTAAAGCGAAGAGTGATAAAAATTAATAATGTGATATAGGGCACACAGCAAATCCAGTTTCAAAATGTTATTGGGAGATGAAAATTTTCCTTATGTGTATATTTTTCACAGTGTGTATGCAGTTTTTTGCTGGTATGCGGTTGTTTCTATCATCTGGAGAAAAACTCTTTCTTCCTTTGTTGCTCAAAAACTATGTGTTTGGCAAGATTTCAAGTGTCCTAAAAGGACTGCTGGGGATGGGTGTGTTTAGGCACAGGATTTTTCAGGAGTCTGTGGCTGTAACCATGAAGCTGATTGTATAACAGGTTTTGATAGCACTTTTCCTATTACTAGGTTTTTTTTTTTTGTTTTGTTTTTTGTTTTTTTTTTTCCTTTTCCTACTCGGATATAAAAACCATTCAAGGTAGGTCAAAGGATTTGTAATTCTTCCATCTGCTTCCATCTCTACTTGGAGTTTTATGGTAACATTCATACTGTGTGTATCTGTTTCTGTGAGCAGGAGTGTATAACAGTATGCTCAATTTTGGTGTGTAGGAGACAGGAATATACTATTTCCCCCCATACTCCCTTCCCATCTTATTACCATGACACTTGAAAAATTTCTACCACTTTTTTATTAACAGGTCCTTGGAAATGTTTACAGTCTTGCCCAACAGACATTGCCTCAATTTTTAAAATTGTAACTCTGTGGAGGGAAGAGAGTTCTGATTTTTTTAACCTCTTTGCAAAATTCTACTGTCACTACAATGCAGCAGTAGTGACAAAATTAGGTTACTGTGTAATGCCTTTCTTGAAAATCCTATTTTCAGGGACACAGCTCAGAACTGACTTGTATTTAGTTTTCAGAGATTTATTCTGCCACATGCGACTCTTTCCTCTTGTGCCAGAGCTGCTTTTAGTTTTTTGTGGCCTAGCTACATCTAACCTTTTTTTGAACCTCATTAGAATTTTTTCCCAGCATATGGTGCTTGTCATCTTTGTATTCTTTAATCTTCTTTCCTCAGTAGTTAATTACTTAACTTTTTTTGTGTATATGCACATCATATACTATAATAAAGATATTTTTTGTTAAGATCAAGGAGTTCTGTGTTCAAAAAATTTTTTTTTGTAAGTGGGAGTTAATACAGGGTGTTTTAGCTTGGTACCTGTTACACACAGGTATGTTGTTTTTCATCCCGGCCACTTTTCCTGTGAGGTGACAAACTTGTTCTATATATAAAGCAATTGCATAATTCTAAGACCAAAGTTTAGGTGGATGTCAACACTGTTAGGGTTCTCAGTTCCTGTAAGACTCCTGTTTTAGGCTTCTGTTTTTCCCTCATGAACCCATTATCACAGATCCTCTGTGGATTGATGTAAATGCATCAAAGCATTGTATATGCTGCTAAAAGCTGTGATCAAACAGATAAACTTGTGGTGGATCTGGCTGTCTATGGCCACAAGAGAAGTCACTTTGGTGAGCTGATCCAATGGGAAATGAATCAAGTTGTTATAAAAAAGCTAAAGAAACCCCCAAACAAACAGCAGAGAAACCATACTGTTTCTAAAGTGCTTTTTATCTGATTTCATGATGGTTAGGTCTGACTTAAGGAAAAAAGTGTGTGCCCAAGGGAGCAGAAAGATCAGGGACAGCAATCTTTAGCATTTAGCCTTGCCCTTATATTTGGATGTGAAACTGCCCTTAGGCAGTTATTCTTTTGGAGAACCAGCTCTATCAGGAGGCTGTAAATTGTCAGCTATGAAAAGTGGGCTTTATTCTTAAGGAATGCAAAGGCATTACGTTGAGAAAGGCAACTTTAATGTTGTTTTGATGTTAAGTCTGAGATGGACTTGAGATTTCTACTACTCAGTTGCTTCATTTTTGTCAAGACTGAACAAAAGGCAGTTTTAAGGTCTGCTTTAGTGATGTGCTAACTATGATTAGAGGATGTGTTCAGAGATAAGCCTATATCTATTTCAAATATTGCACATTATGAGTGGTGTGATTTCAGTAGTAATGGAAGCTGAAAAGGTCTGCTGTAAACTGCTGCTTTTTAATTTTGTGGGTAAAAGAAAAGTGAATTCGGTTAACAAGCTGGCTGCTGAAACCTGAATGAAGCAGTTATTTTGATAATTCCAGAGCTGTTGGTCTAGGAAAGACCTTAGGTTGGATAACCTAACCTTTTTGCTACCCCTTTGTTTAAAAAAGCTTCTTATTTGTGGTGGAAATTCTCGCACAGAAATTGCCCCCTAAAGAGAAGAGCTAGAGATCTCTCAATATTAACTTCTATATATTTTTATAAATTTACTAGTTATTTTATTGAAGTAGATTGATTGCTGTTGAATAAAAAGCTAAAAGAATACTGCACTATTGTATAACACTTTTTTATCAAAGTGTTGATACAATGAAATCCAAGAGCATTGCAGAAAGAAATTTTATGATATTTAGCCTGGCTGTTGATTTACTCCCTTTTCCTTCAATGCAGGGTAATGTTTTTTTGAAAAATTGGATGGGTAAGTTTTCAGTGACGACGTACTATTTCAGAACATATTTAGGAATTTAGGAAAAAAGTAGTTCTATTTAGTTGTAACTTAAACTTGTGTCTTGTTTCTTTAGGGTCATGATGAAGAAGCTGTTGTGGATATGGGCAAAATCAGCTCTACTATCAATACAAATTTTGAGAAAGAAGAACTAGAGAGTAAGTTTGTGGTGGTTTTGTGTTTGCTTCACATGCATTTTTTGCCTAGGGAGAAAAGATTAATTTTCTTTGCTAAAAGGAATCAAAATTTTATGGCTATCATGAAATTCTGGGAGTAAAACTGGTGAAAGGCAGAGGTGACCTGCCCTGTTTTGTCTCTGTGCATGTTGGTAAATATACACTGTTCTAGTCTCTCTTAAAAAAAAAATAAAAAAAAAAAAATAAAAATAGAAGCTTTCCAAGGAAAGCTTGCTTCTTAGACTTAGGTTTGAAAAAATTATTTCTGTTGGTAAGTAATTTTCCAGCATGAATGATGTCACGTTCTGCAGAATGAAAAGTCAGGAAACAGGGGTCATGAGGGAGATGTTTGTTTTCTTTTCTGAAAGTTAAGTATCCTTGTGATTGTGGTCATGCATTTCAGATAGTGAGAGTCTGAACAGAGATGTAACTGTCCTTCTGGTTCCATAGGAAACTGTATGTTCCACCATCTGCTGTCAGTAAAGCATTATGGTAGTCTTCATTATTTGACTTGGGATCCCATGTTTAGCAATGATTTAGTTTAATGTAGCAGAATGTGAAATTAGATATTTCATCTAAGGCATTACTTTTTTCTTGAAAACAAATTAGTTTGGGATTAGGATTCATGGCTGCTACTTAATGAACAAGGAAATGATTAGGGAGATCCAGTGCTAAGGTGTTCATTATTTGCCTTTCACGTGGAATGCTCTGAAGCTTAATTAACATTTGCAGAATGCGAGAAGGCAGTAGATGCACTGAGTTGTACTGGCTCTTACTGCTTCAGCACACTGAAAAACCATAATGGCAGCAGTTTCTGGCTAAGAAAGGTTGGTTTAGGTTGCTGTGATGCTGTTGCAGTCATACTCTTGATCTGTTCTCTTCATTCTATTACTGTTTTCTGTCTTGTGCTAACACTTCTGTTGGCCTGACCCAACCAGAAGCCCAACTAGGTTTGTTAGCCATTGGAAAGTTTAACAGTCTGACAAAGGAAGATGGTCAAGATCTCGGTTGTTGAGCACCCAAAATTTCACACAGGTGGATGTGTGCTGGAGCTGAGCAGAGGAAGGAAGCATGGATGTGAGGCTGACAGATGCAGCAGTGGAGGCTGTGACAATGCTGGTTTAGATGGGGTTCTGCTGCAGGGAAACAGCTGCCTTGGCTGTTTCTGCAGTTGAATCTTCAGTGGAGATTTCATCTATCTCCTCCTCCTTAATTTCTTTCTCTTGCTTTTCTCAGGAGATGACCCATAAAAAGTGTGTGTATGTTTTGCAAGGAGGCAGGGGTTAAGGGGAAGCAGGCATCCAGCTGGAGTAGTGTTTGAGGCAGCAGACTTAGCAGCTGTAATGCCTCGACCACAAAGAATGACATGGGAATGTGCAGCCAGATAGCTTCCCCAGTCCTTTCAGAGCACATTCTTGTAGAAGTGCTTCAGCTCCTACAGTGCTGCAGTTAATCAAGATACTAGGTGTGAAGGCAGGGGGGCTTAGACTGCGTGAGGCAATTTAAGCACTTGGATGACTGCTCTGGAAAATACCCCTTTCTTACCTATAGCTGAAGAGTAAATTAAGGTGAAATGTAGACTGCTGTCTAATGAACATTTGAGTCAACATAAGTGTTTTTGAAAGGAGGAGTTGAGATCTTACTGTCCTCATGTTGTTCTTAGCCATGCACCTTATCTTTTCTTTCACTCCTTCACTCATTTTGGAGTTGCCCAGTGTTTGTATCTCAATGCAAGAGGGGGCTGGCTATACAGAGGTTTAACATACAACTAATAAGAAGTGTCTGAAAAAAAAAAAAAAAAAAAGGAATGTTTTCCAGTAGTATTATCACATATGTGATAATACTACTTATATAATATACTTCACATATGTGAAGCTGTATATAGGTACACATTTTCTCACATAAATAGGAATTGGTGTTCACGTGTATTTTTTAGTATCTTGTATGTTTGTAAGAATTTTTTTATTGATATAATGGAGCAAGGGAGGGATGCCATATCATTTGACTTTGATCAGAGTGAAAACTGTTCCAAAGTAAGAACAAAACGTTTTTTATTTCCTTTATGAAAAAAGGTATGTAAGTGTGATTGTTCAACTCATATAGTTGCCTTCTCAGAGATTCTTCAAACTCGGGATGTTCTAGAGGATAAATTTATGTGAACTTACAGCTCTGTTTAAGAGCTCATTATTTGTAAGTATTATGATGAAAGTAGGTATGTGGAATTTTTAGGTTTTGTTTCTAATTCTGGTATTAAAATCCTACAAGGGGAGAATTGAGATTATTGGCTGCAAGCAGTAAAGCAATTCCAACTGGCATTATTTTTTATTTCTGACATTAATATTTTCTTGTAGGCTTGGGAAGTCCTGTGCTAAAGCATTAGGTATTGGAAGTGTTTTAGGACTTTAAACTATCTCAGTCTGGTCTTTTAGTATGTGTTTCTGGTGACTTGAAAAGGAGTACTAGGAATTTTGAACCTTCACCAAAAGTCTGTATTGATGTACTTTGAAGGAGAGTTAGAAAGCAGTGAATTGAGTTCAGCTCTGGTGTGAAGCACCACACTTTTTAAAGCCCACATGGAAAGGTGATACTTAACCTATTTAAAGTATGTACAAACAAATGTTGATATGTTTGATACAGTAGAAGGCATAATTTTGCTCTTAATTTTGCTCACTTTAGTAATAGGGAAGATGTCTTGGTGTAATAGGGAAGATATCTTGGTGTTGTCAGTTTCTTGGTGTTGTATGTTCTGGAAATTTTGTGATGAAATATTAATGGAAAGAGAAACAAATGCTGAAGGGGAAAATAGATTTTGGTCTTGGAGCTTCTCAAGCTCTTCATTCTATTTATGGTGGCTGACAGAGTGTGGTACCTGTCTGGATTGACAGTGTTTAGGTTAGGAAGGTTAGGCACAGGCTGCTTGTTTTGTAACACTCTTCCCATAAAAGAGGAATGGTTAGAGATGGTAAACTGCAATTGTGGCCAGACTGTGTGTGTACTAAATAAAGGTACTGCACTTTACTGAAGCTGTAAGGCCTTATTTTGAATTAACAAATGTCAGTTTACAGAAGAGCTAGGAAAGGGAATAACATCTTAAAATAACCTTTTTTAAGAGCACCTGATGTTCTTAACCTGATGCCAGGTTCTTTGAGCTGCAGTGAATGAGAGTAATAACAAAATAATGCAAGAGTTGGAATAAGGCAATAATATTGATGGCAGAGGTATTTAATGTGATCTTGTAAAAGGTATTTTCTGTTAAATGATGTTTATGGAAAACTTGACTTGGACTGGCTTGATACTACATGCTTTCATCTTTTAAAATGTGTAGCTACTTTTCAACCTTGATTTGAGGGTACACTTGCTGCATACAGTGTAAGGGAAAAGGGATACATTCTGTTACTCTAGCAGGCATAACAAAGATAAGCAGTTTACACATAACAGGGGTTTTGTTCCAGAAACAATCTTGAGGTCAGGAATGTGTGTCTTGGTAGACTAGTTTTCTGTGACATAAATCCAAGCATCAGCTTTCAAGAATTAAAGTGGTTTAATAGCTATCTACTCTCACATTATCCTGTGGCAGGTGTAACTCATGTTTACATTTTAAGTGACCCTATTAGCTCTTATACCTTGATGAGCCTTAATTTTAGAAAAGAACTGTGGTTTTTGCTTAATCTTAGTTGACAAGGACAAGTAATCAAATAATCCTGTATTTTTTCTCCCCTTAGGTGAATATTGTGTATCTAAGTAGGAGACTTGCTGTACAAGTGTTTCACAATTTGAAGCTTTTTAAAAGTGTTTGACATAAACTGTGTCCTAATGATTTTTTCCACATACTTCTTTTATTTAAGAGAACAATATGTAATGTTTTTGTTCTGACTGCACCAGAAATTTTATAAAAAGACAGCTAACTGCAAACTATAATAGTTTTATCATCTGAAACACACATAAAATTATTATTTAAATAATATGGTCATAAACCTGAAGTTCTACCAAACAGCACAAAGCAAAACTTGCAGTTAACTCGGTAGTCCCCGATCATTCAAATATCAAATTTTTTAGATGTGGCAGAACAGACTCCTTTATTCTGCAACCTATTACTTCTTGATGACTTTCCATAACCTTTACCTTTTTTAATTCCCTTAAAAATAAGTTGTTCTAAAAATTGACTAAACTTGTGTTTTGTTGGATATTAGAACTGTTTCTGAATGGATGATTTCTCTGTTTACAGTTTACTGAAAGCTAGTGTTTCATAGCAGTTCAAACTTTTAAGTTTACCTTTTATTTAATTTATAAAATAAATAAAAAAGGAGAGAGTTTGACTTTTTCTCAGGAATGCTTCTGTGAAGCACAATTCCTTCTGTAAATATCAATAGATGGATTTGGCAAACCAATAAATTTAAGCACTTATACAAAAGAGGGGTGTGATCAAATTTGTTATGAGAATGTATTTGTGACCCATTGATGGAGTCAGAAAATTTTCATTTCAGAAGTTTCTTATGAAATATTTTACAAGAACAGTGTTAGAATGTGTAAGCCTCGTGACTTTACCGGGGGGATGGGAACTGGTGATCTTTAAGATCCATTGCAACCCAAAACATTCTGTGGTTTTATGTTGTGTTTAGTGGACAAAGGGCTAGTCTTGAATGTTAATGGGATTTCCGCTTGAATTGCTTATTTCTAGGTTTTCTCTTCTCCAACAGAAACAACTCTTTGAAATTACCTTGTATGTGTATCCTTTTTCCTGAGCTCTGCTGCAGAGATATGCTGGCCCAAGGACCCTCAGCTTAGATAAAGTGTGGAGCCCAGCTCTGGTCTGGCTTGGCTGTGCAGTGCAAGGATAGCTTGTCCTCCCTCCCACCCCTACCAAGGGCTGGCTCCTTTCCCTGGCAACGGAGATGGGTGCTGGCAGTGTGCTACAGGTGGAGGTCTGTGCCAGAATCCCTGTGTGGCACTGCCACCCAGCACTAAGCTTTTCCTACTACTGT